GTTCACATTTACCTCCGAATTTCCAGGCTCTACTGAAGCCGATTAGCGTCGGAACTTTGCTAATGAAACTGCATTCATGATTATCTTGATTGGCGGCCTCTGAGATACGTGGAGAAAGCTTGCCCCACTATGTTAAGACTCGTCTATCGAACTCCAGTACTGAAGGTGAGTCAGCCCCCTAAAATATTTGTTTACGTAGAATTTATTTACGAATAAGATCAGTAAAGGATTCTGTCACTGGTTCTCTTAACCTGTAATCGTGTTGTCTTTCTTTGTCGCGTCGTAGTTTTTTATAGGATCATTCATTAGCTTATCGATTTTGGCGATTTTATCTGCGCCGTTTACTGCATGCGGTAACTCGCTGTCTTGAAATGGTACTAGTACATAGTTACCGGATAGGTGTACACAAGCGAAAGGTCACCATGAAGCTGAGAGTGGGCGTTGTTCGGCGGCTAGGGGGCCATTTTGGACTTTCGCTGTTTGACTAGTTCCGGTTTGCTTATCTCACTCTGCTGGAATGAGCTCGTCAAGTCACCATGGTAAAACATGTCAATACTCGTATGCTCATGAACGGGCTGTATAGATGGCTTGACACGTCGATAGGAAGTAGTTAGCAAAGTGCAAAATGCCTTCACCCCCTTCCCCGCACTGTGCCCTGAGGATGTTCAACAATTTTGGAAAAAGTTTGGGGGGGCTTGAGATTGATTCCTAGGGAACGGCAAAATTCTAACGGGCTGGGCTGAAGGCCTCAGCTTCTGTTTAGAGGGGTGCGCAGCACACCTGTGAGCCGCTTGTCAGCATACCAAATCCTGTAAATTAACACTTAAATGCCGGACAGCCTTGTCAATATCCTGCAGGCTTCTGCTATCACTTGTGAAGCACCCTGTGATTTCCTGTTAAACTCCTCACAAAACTGGTCAAGATTTGAAAAAAAGTGGAAAAATGGCGTTCCACTGACGCCAGTTCAATTTCGCCAAGCTTAACATGAACTTGCAGGGTACTTGACAGGAATTTACAGGACTTTGCAGTGTGAGACACGATCGAGAAAAGAGAAAATGAACTACAGAGAAAGAAAGACATCGAAAAAGCTTAAAGGTGTTCCCTCTCCAACTCCCTCTACCCCCTCCCTCCCCCCTAGGTCAGTAGCACCTCGCAATGGTCTTGCACCCAACAAGGCTGACATCCGCCACTGATGGGTTTCATGATCCTGGCCGCGATTAAGTTATTCAGTTCGAAAAGCAATTATTGATGGTGGCTGTTTTCCCAACAATCCGTCATCGGTGATGCGGCACGGTTGCGACTGGATTGAGACTTTGAGATCGTGAAAGTGATCTTCTTAGTCGCATCAAGAAGTCTTCTATGAACACACACTACGGAGGAGGCGGGGGGCGTAAAAATTTAAGTACTGGTTACTAAACGACACGAAGCGCCTAAGAAACTTATCCATCAGCCACCATTGGGCTAAATTAAACTTTAGGCTGTCTCCATACTGCAATCAGGGCCCGTTTCACATGATTCTCTAACCTTATCGCTCGCGCTCCCACTTTGGTCGCTTCTACTTTAGGCCCCGTCCCTCTGCGGCGCTGGGACGGTTGGGCGCGAATTGGACCCAGTTAGCATATTGCTACAGGCCACCTTGTCAAAACACTGTAGATTTCTATGACCAAAGTGGCTTTCTCGAACCACTTCGCAGTTTCACAGTGGCAGGTGTAAACCAAAAAGGGACTTGTTAGTCCTCATGACTCAGGAAAAGGTACTAGCGAAACTGCAAAATGCCACCTCCAAGCCGAACAGTACCGTTTTTTTATTCAAAAAGAATTAATTTCGGATGCGATTTGACCTTACAGTCACTGGAAGCTACTCCAAACAGTGTTCTTATTATTCCACACAAAAATGGTATCATTTTACCGAGAGCGAAAGTGAAAGGAAGAAGACTTGGTTGTTCCGGACGAATGGGCCATCTGAGATTTGATCCTGAGAGAGATCACGCGTTGTATTGCGGCGCCAATTGCCGCTACACCACCTTTTTTATTAATTTCATTTCTCTTCGTGGTGACTTTATTTTGTTTTGCTGTAAGTGTTTATTTGTTTGAAGTTTCTCTTTTCAAGTTGCTGCAGTCAGCATCCGCTCTGTATTTTTTAGATTTTCCATAAACCACCTAGGGCACTTGTCCTTGCCGTTGGGGAAAAAATTGTAAAACGCGATCCCTCTTAAAATTTCCCTCTTCTACTGAGACCCCCTCCCCATCTTCCTATACTTTCTCAGCTTCCTATTTCTTTTCCGGAACTTTTTCCTTGAAAACTCCTCCAGTTTTTCCCGAAATCCTGACTTGATGATGGCAGGGGGTGCGTGGTTTATATAGCGCACTTTGACAGGAAAAACCGAAAGAAGTGAATAAAGGAAATTGTTTTTCTCAAGAGCAAGTGCGACACCCTCCCATGCACCCTGCCCCGCTACTTGCTACAGAGCCTTTTTAGACTCTTCCTGCATTTCTAGTGATACAATAAATACAGATGTACTGAAGTAAAGTACCCCACACCCTCACTAGCTCGCCAAATTGCCTTTCAGAAGTTTCTTTGATAGGTAAATTGCAAGAAACGTTCCAAGAATGATGACGATATGCGCAATCCTGCACCTCAAACATCGTCCTCTAATTTCTTCTAAATTGGCCGTCACTACTGACGGCTGCCTGATAGCTACCGTACTCGGAATTATTCATTTGTGAGGCTGTTAATTCGCTTTGCCACCCGGCGACATCAATATGAGAGACGCAAGGCGTGGCCACACACGCTGATTGGTTGACGAGCGTCAGAGGGGCGGAGCGTGCTGATTGGCAACGATAGTGGCGCCCAGTATCGCACCCCCTCCCCCTCGTCGTCGTCTTCGTCATCGTCATGCACGAGAAACTTAAATTCGGTATTGACTCGATTCTTGATCCCTGCTTTGGCAGGACTTCCGTCGAAAAGGACTCATCGCTGGACTTAAAATTCCACGATCAACACAGTCCTTCCACAGCCATCAGTCCTTGTTCGTCATTTGGCGCCAGTCCACCAACACCAGTCATCGACAACCGGGCTCTATTTCCTGCATGGGTATTCTGTACCAGATATTCCGATCGTCCGTCATCTGGTGAGGAGATTATCTTATTGTTTCCTATACCTGTATTACTAAAGATCTAAAAATTACGGTAGCTCTACATTTTCACGGCGGCGCTGTATTTTTTGGAAGTACGAGTATTTTCGTTCTGCGCTGTGGGAGATAACAGTACACAATGAAGCTATAGTAGACCTATGAAAAGTATCGAGGCGCTGTTCGGCTGAAGGGGGCACTGAATGGTACCCAGCTAATATTGTACAGGTCACCTTGTAAAGACCTGTAAAGTCCTGCAACAAAAGTAGCTCAGCTCACCATTCTCGCAACTTAACCGGGACTTACAAGTCCCGCTAAAAAGAGACTTGTCGTTCGACATGAACTAACAAAGGAAACTAATGAAAGTGTAAAATTCCCCCTCCAAGCCGAACAGCGCGAAAACCGATATTTATCTTTCTCGTTATCCTTCTTACTCGCCAGGCTTGTCTTTTCAGCTTTAACTTCCCTGTTAGGGTAAGGGTGAAGGGAAGAGTGAGCTTCGAGTAATAGCTTTTCCTTCTCGTTACGCGTAATTACGGCTTCAGTACTGCTTTCCATCCACGCCACATTATCTAGAGGTCGAATTTTTTCCGAACAATAAGACCCGATCCTCCTAACAAATGTGTGCCCTGTTTCCAGCCCTGCTGCCATAACCTAATTCTTACGATCCCCTAATTTCACTAATCATCGCTGACAACCTCTAAATTCTTTAACAGTCATTTTTGGGGCCACATAACTTCTAGCGAAAAAGAACTTTTTCAAACTTACTCTGAATCAAAACAGTCGTAAGGCTCTGCTGCGGCCGAAATTCCAGCACTTTTGTGACCCTCTTGATTGCGGCCAAAAATTCCTAAAATAGCAGTTCTCATCGGACACATCTATCAAGTTTTAGCACCTTTTTCTTCACAAAAAATATTTGTTGAAAAGATCATTTTGAAGATGACCCATTTAGATTTTCTCTGAGGAACTAGCCACTATCATTTGTGCATTGAAATTCTTCATAGAGAAAAAAATTTTACTTGAAGTTCTTCCTTGTGTATTTTTTCTGAAATTGTGAGATATCAGATGTGATAACGTAAACGTTCACACGCATAAGAAGAGATAGAGAGAGAGAGAGAGAGAGCGGAGCAGACAGGAGTAGAGAGACGAGAGAAGTCGGAAGAATGTGCGCTTCAGCAGAGCTAGTTGACATGAGTTACTCCTGGATTTGACTCTTGACATCAGACTACCAGGTTAGAACCCGACCCGGCTTTTTTTACGAGCGACCCTCTTTGGTCCCGAAGTAGGGTACGGTCTCTCAAAGTTGGCTACGGTCGAGAAAACCTCGAGGAGGGGTCGCGTCACTCATCGGGAGGGGTCTGCTCTGATTTGAATTAGAACATTAAAAGTAATCGAGGAGATGTGTAGATGAGAAGTTGGACTTTTCGATTAGAGCTGGTTAGTTCAGCGATAGAAATGGAGTTCTGTACTGAACCGCCAACTTTCCTCACTGCCATAGTCCTGCAAGAAACCAGTGGCCGCCATTCAGTAATCGAAAAAGTCATACTTGGTTGAGAATCAATAAGGGAAAAGCGAATGCGCTCAAAAACCTATCAGACCACGTCGTTCAGTTGGGATTTCCAGTGAGGGGGTCGTATTTGGTTGAGAGGAGTTAGTTGTAATTGCTGCGAGGAATTCCTTTTCAATTGTTGACTTTTTTCAATTTTCTTCTTTGAATAAAAATGCTAGAATTGGTAGAACATGGAAAGGCTGGTTGTTAGTGTGGGACATGGAAGGTGGGGGGAGCGATCGCGCCAGAGGAGGAGATTATGAGGGGGGGGGTCGTATTATGCAAAAACATTCCCCATCGGTAGGACGTGCCCTGAAACCCATGCCACAAAGGGAAAGACTCCCTTCTCATTTGATCATGGACTTTGATGAAAATAATTGGCAAATCTCCGGAATCTCCGGAATCGTCACTCCCTTCAAGGAGCCTCATCCTAGCCATTCTAGAGGAGCTAACGGTCAGATATTGAAGGTTAGAGAAGCCCAATTAGAGCAGAATCCGTGTCAGAGAATCCCCGGAATGTTGCCTGCCCCAGAACCCTTACTGTAAGCGCCTGGGATGCACCGCATAGGTACAAGGTCGATGTGGGTAGGATTTTCATTTGTTGAGATATGGCCAAGTGAAAAGCAAAAATAGCGAAATGAGCCTATCCACCAGGTCGTTTCGGTTATGTACCCAGCAAAGTGCCATTTTTTGAATTAGTCTCGTTACCGTATCGCTTGCTGTCAACGTCGGACCACCTTATTTTACTGCCTTTGTGTGCGCCGTGTTTTCTCGTTACGATATGTACGAAGTGAAAATTTCCCGACAAATCGTGATTTAAGCGATAAACGGTGAATGTTTCAAGTTTACTGCCACGCGCCCAAGTGTCAGGACTTCGTCACGCGGGCTGATTACGGTAGCGGCTTGGTCGAATGCGTTTTTCAAATGGCCAAATGCTTAGACAAAGCTGCTTATGCTCGAAGATAAAAGGGTAAAACGGTTGGCGTCGATCAATAACTTTGGGATGAGCCAGTCACACAAATCCCGTCCAGGAGCGAGCAGCTTTTGGTTTAGGTATAAGACCAATTAAGCGATCCCAAAACAAGGGAGGGCTTCACTGGTGGGGCGAGTACCGACCCATGAAACAACTAAAGAGGGACAGCATTTTTTCCCTTGCGCCACATCTACCAAAAGTTTGGCAAGAGAAAAGCTCATTTGGAAATGAAGATCAAGGGAACTCCTGCCATAGGAGTAAATTTCCGCGAATTACCAGCCCCCCCCCCTCAGGAGTTCTTCCGTACTACGTGCATACAGTCTTTCACCTTCATCGCTTTCATCGAATTTCGACGTTCCCTGGTTGCATTTCGTTGGACTAATTGCTGATCAAATAGCAATTCAATCGAAGCCCGTTTTTAGGTCCTCGATCTCGAAAGCCGAGAAAGCGTGAGATGTCAGAAGAAGAGAAACGGCCACGTACCGCTTTCACTCCCGGACAGCTCGATCGACTCAAGAAGCAGTTTCTCGATAACAGGTATTGCCTCTAATCCTTTAGGAGCTGCCGAACATCCCAAAGTTCATTCCACTGAGAACTGAGTCACTTACTCGGAGAAAATCCTTGTTTTTTTAGGTATCTCACCGAAAAACGACGTCAAGAACTGGCTCATGAACTCGGTCTCAACGAATCCCAGATCAAGATTTGGTTCCAGGTAAATAGTCTACGATTGTCCCTCGTTCAAAAAGAGTGGTACTACGGAGGTATACTGAAATCTGGGAGGAGGTAAGCAGTGAGATAAGCAGTGGGCGCTGACCCTCCCAAGACGGTCAGTGCCTAGAAGGAAACCGTACATGCAGCAGAGATCCTACGGTACCGTAGTCGATGCTGAGTAACAGATCAACTCTTGCCTCGGTAACGGGTTCAGAGATGTCGTTATCTATGCTGATAGGTTCCTGTGGGCAATCCACGCCATGCACCCCGACCCTCCCCCCCCTGTCTAGATTTCGGCGCTAGGCCGCTAACTCTTGCTTACGGCTGTTCTGAAAACTGCCTATAGTGGGACCAAATGACAGTTGGCCTTCATATATCTCTTTGCCTGCGTAGTTCTTGGTGGAGACTCTGGTGTCAGTGCAGGAGGAACTAGTGGGAACCATAATTGGGAAGTTGTGACTTTTCGTCTTTGGCCGCTGTAATCAGGGTACTGAGCTGGCTCCAAATTTTTCCAGGGGGATGGGACCGTACTATGCTATATAATTTCGATCTTTTGCTTTTTTGCTTGCTGCTTCTTATCGTTTTCCTTTTGTTTTCTCCTTCCGAGTGCCGAGTTGGCAACATAAGTAGTAGTGGAGGCGGGACCGTCGTACAAAAGCGACTAACATTGGGAGAATCCCATGTTTTGGCGATGTGTAGATGTTCGCTGGGAAGGATCAGGGTGTATCAGAGCTGTTCAGTCAGTCAGCTGCAGTCACTTGACCTAATCTTGGCTTTCTATATGCTTTGGTAGTTTCTCCTTCATAGGCTGGCCCTGAAAAGGAACCCGAATCCGGCCACATCCACCTATAGCATCCTCCGGTCGCCATTCCTTCTCTGATAACTCTCCCATTAGGAGGACACAGCGACTATCTGGTAGCAGCGCGTTAACCATGTACCGTATACCTATCATCCATATCAAAGGTGATCTGTCATGCTCTCCAACTACGTTCCCATATGAGCACAGCCGTAGAAGAAACCGCCTTTAATTACATATCTTGTGTCGAAGGTTTTTTTTTTCTCGTGATTCAGTCGGCGAGCCTGCTGTGTTCCCGTCAGAACGGCCAAAGGAGATGACATGCACATCGATACGCCACTGTATCGGGATACTCGTCCCCTGGGACATCGGCATGGTATGTGCACCGGGGGAAGGTGATTCGTCACTAATGTTGCCTGAGTATTCGAATCGAATCGAAATCCGTGGCAAAAGTTATTCGAATTTACCGCAACAGGTCGCGCCAGAAGCCGCTCTTATGAGATCGCTATCGCTTAATTGCTTACTCTCCTCCATGAAGACAACATGTTTCAATGCGACCATCCTGCGGAAAGTGAGAAGCGCTAGTTAAAGTTCAACGAATTCTGAATGCAATTCCATCGATCGATTATTGATTGTGCTGTAGGATGCTACCGCTTGATCACTGACGGCCAATCGAAAGTCACCGCGGAATCGGTCAGCTTCACTATCATTGGATACAGGTATGCCAGAGGAGTAAAGCCGTCCGTTTCGCTTCGTCGCACGGTATCTCGTCCATTTGACCAAACATCAGGGGCGGTCCGTACAATCGGAGACTGCCGACTGCTGTCACTGATCTCCTCAAGAATGAAAGCAATGGCCATTTGACCATTGCTGGAGTAGCGCGATTCTGCATGGAAGATCGAATAGGAGTGATCAGAAGTCATAGGCTAGAAATATCCAGATACTGCAGCGCACAGCAAATAAATAATTACTAGCAATTAATTAACTCAAGCGCACGTCGGCTTGTAGGGGGCACCACTTTGTAGTGTTTCATAGGTCGTGCTGATGCATCTTGCGGAAAACCCACTAATACTTTCTGTAAGCCGCCATCACACCCAACGTAAGCAAGTCCCCCTCCCTGCTAGAGCACTAATATTTACGTCTGCGAGAAGGAAGGCCGACAACGTTGATTCGGTCCCGCCCACGCCCATCGGCCCTGAAACGGGTGCCTTTGCGAAACAACAGTACGATTACCTGAACTGGCGACCCTTCTTATAGTCAAGGTGTGATCGGCTGGGCTGCCAGGAAATATATCACTCTCCCACCCGAAAGTGCCTAGCAACGAAGTCGGAGACTGTGGTAGCCTGATGCTGCTCGTTTCCCAACCCACAGCCTGGTGCGCCATACGGCCACATGGGCGCGCTGTTCCAGTGCGGCTTCTTAACGAGATAGGGTCGGTATGGTGGGCTAGGACTAGTCAGTATAGGGCGTGTGTTAAGTGATATACAGTCGTGCACTTGCCCCTCTGACATTCCGACATGAAGAAATTTCACTTCGTCCCATCCATACCTTAAGGCACTACAAGAGCGCATGGCTGGCCTATTCACGGCTTTGCGCTCTTATGCCATTACAATTTCTTCGGCCGCTGATTATCGACGGGGGGGGGGGCATTTTGTACTATCACTGCTTCCCTTGTTCCGGTTTGCAAATCTCACTTTGGTAAAACTTGTGAACTCTTGTAAAGCTGGAGCAGGATCGTCTAGCCACCATCCCAAACGTGTCAACTCGAAGAAAACAGCGTTACCTTAGACTGGCGGTCGACACCATCTAATGAAAGCAACAAATGCCCCCCCCCCATCTGATCAAACTGTGCCCAATTCTGCCTCTCTTTCGTCCAGACTCGCCGCTCTCGCAGCCACACTCTTGCTGTCCTCAGATATGGACTGTAATCCTGCCTTCGAACCATGATAGACCGCAGTATTTGCATTTGTATTGATTTTTTCTCTCGTTATTCGCTGACTTCATCAGCTATTAATTTTCATTTTCAGAACAAACGAGCCAAGCTGAAGAAGGTGACTACGGAGCGACCACCGTTGGCGTTACAAATAATGGCACACAACCTCTACAATCACAACACTATTCAACCATGATCTCAAATTCTTCCCCTGCCCCCCCCTGCTTCTTGTCCAGGACGACCATTTCCAACACTATGAATGCCACCTTAAACGTCGCGTCTCCTTCTAAAGACCTCTTCTAGCTCAGTTATTGTGTATCTCGGATTCGAATTAGGTGTGTGTGCGTCGCGCATCTGTTAAAGTAGTGATTATTGATCAGCAGATCAAATCGAAGATCTAAGTGATCCTAGTGTGATAGTGATAATTTCAATAATCGTATGTTCTTCTCCATATTTTTGCAATTGTTAAGTTTCCTTGTAAATAAAAGACTATTCTCGTATCGGATTTTAGGCCTATGAGCGAAAAACACTCAAGAAAAGCTTTTGAAGCAAACTATCGAGTGCAGGAATTTGCGGCGGAGGTTGCAAGTGACGCACATGCGCGGCTTTCACACCTGAACCTGGTCGATTCAACGTGTTGCGCCATGTCAGGTCAACTAGCTAGGAATTACTAGCTAGTTTGTGCGTGTCGTCGCAACGTGCATCCCAGGTTCTCGTGATATATGCAGAAAAAGACAAATGGGTCTCGGCACAGCGCGGAAATAGCTGACTATTTTCTGGTTAGTTCACTTGATACGCTGCGGCATTGCCGTGTTGGACCAACTGGGTCTTGGTGCGAATGTTGCGCGTGTGACACCGCCTGCAAATGCTTTTTCTGGACCTTGCAACTCGGATGTCCCGAACCACACCCATCAACTGAAAATTGAGGATTTCGAGCGACTTTTCCATCCCTTCAGGATGCGCCATGCAGCAGAATTGCACGCGGCGTTGATTGGCTTATAGGGGACATCTGCTGGTTTCCGTCGATTTCCTCTTGTAGAGGCCTGTTAATCCCTGTCGAAGCTGATGCACAGAGGAATTTCTCGTTTTCAAGTCTAAGGTCAGAAGCATAATCTGGCACTCACGAAGGTAGTCTGCCAGAAGCTAAAAGAGCAAAATGCCCCTCTAAACAGGAGATGGAGAGGAGATCGTGGGGCAGGGATTGTGGCATATGTGGGTTGACCAAACCCTTGTAATGCGGTAAAGCTCAAATCTTATATACTTATCCATCCTCGTTATTACGGATCTTGTCAGCACACGAAGCACAATTTGGTGATAAGGGTAGCCGGTTGAGTAGGCTTCAAAAACAGACCCCGCGCTTAACAGTTTGAGGGATCTCTTCCTAGCCCTAGTGGTTACTTATATACGGTATATTATACGGTAATTCCGTATGTAACTGCAACTTACGATGGCCGCAGCGCCCTCGCCACTCACGGTGGAGCCGCGAAAGTGGGGGACATTGGATTTGCGATTAAATGTACTGTACCTGAGCAAGGAAACGGTCCTACGAATTTGTGGAGCGCGAGGTCTGTCTTTAAAGAGCTCATAGACCACATCAAGATATTTCGGCTCTCTCGTCACATCTGGTTACATTATACCGAAGGTTGACAGTCAGTTAGAATCAACACCGATTCGATTAGTGCAAGACGACAACTGTCACGCCTGACTGGTCGGTTCCAGATCAAGAATTTCCTTGATAACATCGCCCTTCTTATCGTTCTGTCGAACCCTGTGCTTCATGATCCTTGAGCTTCATGATCCCACCAGTTCTTTATGAGAACAGCTTCCGGCTCTCCTTAAATCTGGAACGTCACGAAGCTGGGCCAAATAAAGATGAAGGATGTGAGATCTTGTCTCTATTGAGTTGAAACAAAGAGGCGTTTGTGCGAGGGTGAAGATGATGGATAGCGACCTGAACGCACGGGTTACGCCGCCGCCATCCGATACGCACTACGGGCGGACGAAGATAAGCAAACGACGACAATGTGAGAAGTGATCTTCACATACCACACCGAAGCGACACCGATTGGGGATGGGCTCAAGGACCGACCACCACCAGCGCTAGACCTGGTCTCAACAAGGAGGCAAGAACACTACATAGGGTTCGACACAGTTAGCGACAGTTCGCTAGTTCCTTACCTTTTGCCCACGGAAAATCTACCACTTCAAATTACGCTAATAATTTGCCAGAGCCTGTCACCCAGTAACGCTCGGCTGCCGACTGACAGTAACAGGCCTAATAATTGACCAGGTACGAGCGCTCGTTTGATGAACAGGGGGATTTTCGCCGCTTCTGACGAGTCAGAGAACCTTCTTCCGCGTTTAATTCTCCCCGTTTAAAGACACATTCCACGCCAACCGCATGGGTGGATGCACCAAACCATTGTGCCGCCCTCATTGGTGCCGCTCTTCTTCTGTTGATTCAATGATAAAGAGGAGGATCGCGTCAGAGTGCAAGGCACAGTGGTTGGGTCTTCCTCAGGCAGGGCACGCCATCGATGTGATAATCCCAACAGGGGGTCGCTGACCGCAAGGAAGGGGGGGGTCGTATTTGATCTGAGAAAATTTTTTCGATAGTTAAATAGTGTTTCACCGACACTATGGGGGGGTCGTATTTGCTCTTCTTGTTGGGAGGAGAGAGAGGATATTTGTCTTAGGAATTTGTGGCGTTGGGAAAAAAATTTTGTTGTCGGTTTTTTTTGCGGTTTTTCCCGTTTACTGGTGCTATTGGTGTCATATACCCCCTCCCCTCTCGACAGCAAAATTTTGGGTAAAAACTAAAAATTTTTCGGGAAATGCGGGAAAACTGGAGAAAGTTGTAGGGCGGAATAGGGGGGGGGGTCGTATCAGGGAAAGTAGTTAAGGGGAGGTCGCCCAAGTTTCTGCCTTTTTTTGCAGAGAAACTCTCCAGTTTTACCCCTATGAACAATGTCCGATCAGAGAACGGGTGGGAGAATATATTTAACGCGAGTGAAAAGGGAAAAATCAAGAGTCACTTACCGGAGACGTTTCTCTCATGGTCAGAAGCGAATACGACCCCTCCCCTCCACGGCCATCCCCTCGCCGTCCAAAACCACCTTTAGGACTTGGCAGCGTA